TTAATGAATTCTAGTGGTATAAACAGTTAAGTACTTATCTCTACTAAAGGAAAGGCTTTTCAATTAGCAACTGAATAACTACTAACTCTACTACTAACTCTCTGAGTAACTCTGAAAGAATTGCAATCAGTGAGTAAAAGAATGAGGTACCTTAAAAGAAAGACCTGATAATCCACTTTCCAGAAATCACAGCCTTGAAAACCTGATGAAGTTCTACTCTACAACACATGGGGTCATTAGAGTTGGGATAGACAAGATGTAAGTGGTGCTTGTAGCAAACTGTGTTGTTTCCAAGAACTCCTGGGTTCAGAGATAATCCTTCAGGAGTGAGAGGAATGCTAGAAGGTTAGATTTCAATCTTCTATAGCACAGTTCCATTTTGAAGTATTATACAATGGAGAACTGTAATTTTAAAAAGAATTTTCTGTTGATAAAAAAAGTTTTAAAATTACTGACATAGCTGAAGATGCAGAACCCAAAAAGATATCTTACCGCAACACAAGAACTGATTTGTGATCTGCTATACCAGTATGCTCCAGGCTTTCCTCATTAAGAATATGTCATATAGTCATAGAAATTGTGCAAAATGAAAGGAACAGCCACAAAAGAGTATATGTGCTAGTCATCTCAGTACGTGACAGGTGTGGGAGAACTAAACAAGTGATTTTTCTTTTTCTTTCTTTCTTTTTTTTTTTCTGATTCTAAGCCTTGAGCAAGTTGCATAGTTTTGTGATGTACAGAATATAATTTACCACAGTGATGTTCAGTTTTTCCCCAAGGCAATTTTAAACAAAAGACTATATATTTCTCTCATTAAGCAAATTAACACAGCAATGAAGACAGGTGTCTTTCAGGGTAAGTTACCTGAAAGAAGACAGGCATCTTTTAGGATAAATTACTTACTACTTGCAGCTCCTTAAAGAATCTCTTTAATTATTTTGTTGATGTGTATTATCAAGTTGGAACTGACAAAAAATCACAGGGGAGAAGATTACCTATCTTCCTCCCACAGAACAGTTAGTAGATCTGAACCAAGTACCTTTGTACTGGCAGCATAATTCTTTGCCACTAAGCCACCAGAGCTACTTCTTTAAAAATGAAGTCACAGAAAAAGTTTATGATCCATCCCTCTAGCAAGATGTGCCATTATCCAACTTCTACTGCATATAGCTACTATGCATAAAAGAGGTGACCAGATGAGTGCTATAATAAAATTATAACCAATTTAAACACATTCTGAAATGACATTTTTTAAGCCAGAATTTGGGGATGATGGGTTTTATAGTTCCTTTCAAACAGTAAAAGAAAGATTTGAAAGGAGCAGAAAAATGGGTGGGCTGGTATGTTTTAATGGGAAAAAATCTTTAATGTAATCTCACACATGTGCTTCATTTTACCTGAACAATCTTCTTCTATGGATTTACTTAGAGATGTTTAGTTGTATTGCAGTGTTGCACAGTCACAAAATTCACGCACTATAACTGAGATATGTTAGGAAAGAAAATGAATCTCTTATTTTCTTCAATCAAATATCTCAATGAGGAATTAATTAGTAAAGAATTTTTTTAATTTTCAGTTGCCTTTTATCTAAAACTTTGTTGTAGTTTTTGGTTAGTTGCTGTTGTCTGATTGGTTCCAACTTATGGTGACCCTATATTAAATAGAATTAAATGTTACTCCATGCTGTGTCAACATATTCAAGTGCCACGCTGTTATTACTGTGTATTTTGAGTGCTTCCCACCCATGTGGCTCATCTCCTTACAGTCTCATATATAATAGTCTTTTGTTATACATAAGGTTTTCTGTAACTTAATTTTTTTAAGTACATCGAGTCTTTATTCATAGCCCATGTTAGTTTGGGAATTCTATCTAATAAAATATATTCATCAGGGGTGACCTTGCTAGTATTTGAAATACTGGTGGCATAATCTCTAACATAGCAACACTCAAGATACCATAGTAGGACAAACTGACAAATGAGTGAAAAAGTTTAAAAGTTAGTGAGATCTAGTAGGCTGGATTTTAAATGTGGCATCAGGATTGAAGGAAGATTCATCAATAACCTATGTTATGGAGATGACACAACCCTATTTGCTTTAACTGAAGAGGACCTGAAGTGTTTGTTGCAGGAAATCAAGGACTGCAGTCTTTAATATGAATTGAAATTCAACTTCAAGAAGAAAACAACCTATGTTATGCAGATGGCCTGAAGTATTTGTTGCAGAAAATCAAGGACTGCAGTCTTCAATACCGATTGAAACTCAACTTCAGAAAGAAAGATTCTCACCACTGGGCCAATTGCCAGCACCCTGCTAGATGGAGAAGAGATTGAGATTGTTCATAATTTCAGCTTGCTTGGCTCCAGATCAACATTGTTGGCACCAGCAGTCAGGAAATCAAAAAAGGAATTGCCTTAGGGAAATCTGCTATCTGGGACCTCTCCTGAGTACTGAAGAACAATAATGTCAGTCTAGAGACAAAAGTACACCTGATCCAGGCCTTGGTTTTCACAATTACTTGCTATGCATCAGAGAGCTGCACAATGACTAAGGATGAGAGAAGAAGAATTCATTTAGTCATGGTGCTGGAGAAGAGAATTGAACATACTATGTATCTCCAAGAGAACAAACAAGTCTTTCCTGGAGAGGATGAAACCAAGTTTGTCCTTGGAGACAAGGGTTTGAAGCTCTATCTCAAATACTTTGGGCATGTGGCCAGAAGGGACCAGTCCTTGGAGAAGAACATCATGCTTGGAAGGGTGGAGGGAGAGGGCAGGAGAGAAACTCCCCAGATGAGATGGGTTGACAGATCATTGTCTTGGCCTGCCTAAATGATCAGCAGCTGTTTGTGTGATTTCTTCGTCTTGCAGATAGGGTGTGTTATTCTATCCTTAGGAAGATTGACTAGTCTCACCATTAATTGATCCAATTTGATGTCAGAAGATGGGAATATCACAACAAGAAGAGATCAACATGGGAGTGGCAGTGTGAATTGTTGACTTAGCCCATTCTTGCCAGAGGATGAGAAGTTATCTAGATTGAGAGATTATATACTGTAGACTGAGGAAGGAACAAGATGTGATAAATTATTGACCATGATGTTTACTGAGTTTGCATAGTAGTTGTCTGGACTGAGAAGCATAGTGATATTGGCTGGATTTGGGACTGCTGCTAGTTTGTTTAGATGAACCTGGCTTGGGACTGCTGTTCCTGGTAAAATTGGCTTTGGAATTGGTGAAAGTAGGTACAGGAGTGTGGGAAACCAGGTCTGACTTTGTAGATATTACTTTGGTACTGTGGAAGTTGTTGATGGAGACAGTTTTCATTTGTGGGGGTAGTAGAAGCCAGACTCAGCCAACTCTGTGTTGTTCTTGCTCCTTTTTTTTTTTTTTTTTAGTTTGGGATATGACGTTTATTGAGTTTATCCACCAGAGTGGAAATAATGTCTGTACAAAACCAAATGTTTGTTACTGTAACTTCTCAATCACAATTAAAATCCAAAGTTTTTTTTTAAAGCAGTTAACTCAATCAAAACCCACTATTTCAGAATCAAAAGCTTCTTTGAAGCCACAGTAACACTTAAATATGGTTAAGACTCGAATGCAAAAGCTTCTTTGAAGCCACAGTAACACTTAAATATGGTTAAGACTCGAATGCAGAAATTTGGTTGGTTGGAAAACTAATTAAACTTCCAATTTCCTCAAACAGAATTACAAAAAGGCAAAATTGTGTTTTTCATAGAAATAACAGTCCACTGGAATCACCAACACTGGACAGCTGTTAGAGTATTTAGAGTCCTGAGATAAAAAGGAATCCAGGCATCCTTTAGACAGCCTTTTGCTGTCCTTTCTACCCTAACAGATTTGTGGATATGTGGAACGACACCACCACCAGAAATTGTAGCCTTGATAAGAGAGTCCAATTCTTCATCTCCTGGAATAGCAAGATGTAAGTGAAGAGGTGTAATACGTTTTATCTTTAAGTCTTTTGATGCATTTCCAATTCAAGTACCACTGCGGTGAGGTACTCCAGGATGGCTACACTGTACACAGCGGCAGTCGCGCCCACACGTCGATGGCTAGTCGTCCTAGATATCAGGCGTCGATGAATATGGCCCACTGCAAACTGCAAGCTGGCTCTATGGCAGCAGGAAACCGTCTTTGTCTTGGCGTTTTCAGAGTCTTTCCTGGCCTTAACCGCCAGCCGAGCCCGAGAGTGGAAGAGGAACTGAGAGTTTAGGATTACTCACTCTTGGTCCTTTTACAGCACACTGCAGGAGGTATTCTATATATATTCCAGACTTGATTTTTAATGATCTAAAAAAGGAGGTGGGGTGTTTTGTTTTGTTTTGTATAAAAAGAGAAAAAAACTAGCTCAAAGCAAGAGACCAGAATTCAAGACTGAATTCCTTACGTAAGAACTTATTTTGCCTGTCAGCAACTGTGGCCATCTTTATTACTATGCACTAAAAAGATCCAGTTCTTTTCCCAGCACACCTGGTAGAATCCCACTGCCCTGATCTTTTTGAAGTTAGGTGTGCAGAGGAACTTACTTTGGTCAGTAAAATTTTCATCAGTGTGCGAGTTACTGTTACTACTGCAATGGCAGCCATCAATGTTCCAGAAAGTTGGCTGTTTTGTCACTTTAGGTTCTAGGATGTGGAAGGCATGGAGCACAATTCCCAACCAGCTTTGATACTCATGTGACCTGGACAAGAAACAGACTTCTGTCGTGTTAAACCTGAGAAATTTAGTGACTATGATCTATCCTAATACAGAAGCTGATGCTTATCCCTTCTATAGCAAATATTTTTAAATTTTATTTTATTAATTTTAATGAACATTTACAGAGATTTTGGATTTCTATTCATTCTATAACAAATCTTAATCTGCTCTTACATAGATGTTATGAAGAGAAAAATAGAAAAGTGCTTTAATAACTTTAAAAAAGAACTCCTGTGACAATTATTTCTTACAACTATTTCTTTTTCTACTTTTCAGATGAAGATTTTTGACAAAAATCAAGATGGTCGATTGGATCTTAATGACTTGGCAAGGTGAGTAGTGTGGGTATGCTGCCACAGATCAGAAATACCTTTCATAGGGATTTAATATCATCTTGCATCTTTCCCTAAAGGGCACAAATCCAGTCTATCTTGGAATCTTAAAGAATATATACATCTTACCCAATAACTTGCAGTGAATTTGAATTTAGAGGAAACAGGGGTCTTTGAGAAAATAATGAAAATACTTTTCCCAAAGAACATAAAAAGTTTTTTAAAAACTGTTGTAAAATTGTGTTGTTGTTGTTGTTGTAATGTGCCGTCGAGTCGTTTCCGACTCATAGCGACCCTATGCACAACAGCCCTAAACCCTGCTCTATCCTGCACC